AGATTATCACGTTGGAAAGGGATAATTGGAAATGAATGGAAAAGCTTGTCTGTGTCCTGGGCTCACAAAAAAAAAACCAACAACCTCCTAGAAGAGTGATCTCCGGAGAGAGATCCTTCCTCAGTGTCAGTCAGCCCTTAAATGGGGTCTGGGAGAGGTGCAGCCAGGCTCCAGCCCTTCTGGTCAGGCAGCTGAATTGCCTTCAGCTGTGCTCCGTGGCTGACTCAGTGCTTGCCTCAGGTGGTCAATCAGAGGTTCAGGCTGTGATTCAGCAGTTCCCATTCAGCAGTTCCCATTCAGCTGCCCTGATTATACCAGAATTAGGATGGGGCCTGGGTGCATGAAGGGAGTCTGCCTTGCTGTGCTTGGTGGGAGGGTCAGGGCTGAGGACTGCTTTTGGCACCGTGGCTGAAGTGTAGAACCAGATGACTCCAGGAATGGTGAAGTGGAAGAGATGTACTGACACAGATGTAGCATTAAAGCCGACCAACTGTCAGCCAGATAAGAGCAGAAAACCACTGCATTATCTATAGTCTTAGATTTGATCCCACTGATTCCCATCTCTCTGGCAGACTTGCGTATGTGAGAGAGATCTGCGTTCTGCTTGTCAGGGGTTTTTTCTTTTTTCACTTCTGTAGTAATGCTTGACAGAAATATTTATGTCTTCATGTCCTCAGCTGTAATTTACAAAAATCAGTGGGATCACACAAATGCATGATGCCTACTGACAAGAGAGCTCCTGGGAATAAAATTTGACGCTCGGTTTAAAAGATAATAGGTTATGACAGGGGTTCAGTTCAGCAATGGCCAAACTCCCTTGTCATCTGCTTCGGATGTAAATGCCATGAAAAGGTCAGAATGTCTTGAACCCATTTGAGGATTGAGGCAGAAAGTGAGGATGTTAAGTACAGTGAGGAACGCGTCATCTTTCTCAGCGCACTTTGAACATGCACTGCTTGGTAGATGGATCTAATTAACAACTTTTTTCCTCTGGAAAGAAAGAAGAAGACTCACAGTCTCTGTCAAACCCTTCAGATTGTTAGAGCTGCACAGACTGGACAATGAGAATGCCAATGCAGCTCGGAAATATGGCTAGGTCCTTCACTTTTTGGGAGAAGCCAAGGTAGCCTAAATGGTGGTGAAACAACAAGAGGAGATGCCATTACTTCTTGCTTGCTTGTTTCTATAATTATCACCAGTGCTACACCAGTTAAACTCTTTTTTAAAAAACATTTGTTTAAAACTCAACTGCACAGTGAGGCGTATTGCAAGCATTTCTGTTGTAGATTTGCTCTCAGCTCTCTCAGTTTCCATTTGACTTCACTTTTAGCTCACCTCATTTTAGAACATTTATTGTTCTGTCTACACTTGACCTTTTCTCCAGAAAAATACATTTTTTTAATGACTTACATAATTTCTCTTCAATGCAAAACATCAGACAGACAAAAAGCCAAATGAAATTGCTTCCCATGAGGAGTAAGACAAAAGTCTGTGCAGGAATGAGTGCAATGTTCAGAAATATTTTGTCCAGAAAGCTCCAGGTGAAATGCCATTGAGTGTTAAAAGTAGCTAAGGCCAAAACATTTCCAGAAACTGTAATATAAGAGAAGATAGGGAGATTATTTTACAAGGAGAGGTCAATATGAGATTTTAATCAAGTTGAGCAAAGAATTTTAGTAATGTAGTTATAAAAATAAAGTTAAAAATGCCTTCTGAGCTTTGCTTGTGGACTTCCATGAACTAAAATAAAATCCACAGAACAGTCAACTGATGTGTCCAATGCAGCATGTGTGCCCATCATGCTATTAAACTTCAGTACTAAACCAATTTTCCGATTTGTTATTGGGTTTGCTGGGTTTAAATTTAATTTTTGATTAAATCTCATGTTCATGCTTTTGGAGATAGAAAAATTTCATGGTGCATTTAAAGCACATTGGATAGCAGACAGATTGAAAAATGAACGAGAGTCTGACTTGTTCAGCAAAGGGAAGATGAGGAAAAGGTTAAATTTCACTTTGGGGTTTAAAAAATATACCTTAACACTGTGTTTAGTATGTATCCTGTCTCCATTTCCTCCTCTGCTCCAAGATGACAATAATTGAGATGTAGCAAATTAAAAGATTTTTACCTTCTTATAACTCGTGTACATCTTTTCTTACTTTTTCTATGTCTTTATAACCAGTAGATGTATTTTAATCTTGTTTTTGTTATGTTACATGCCATTTTTTCTTTTTTGTTGTTTTGTTCTTGATGGATTTTTTTTGAGGGACAGTTTATGACTCATGAATAGCAAATGATACAGTAGAGGCCTCAAAGAGAGAATGTAAATACAGGCAATTCTTAAATTTGTTCAGGATAACTAAATGCAAAGATTAGAACAGAAGGCACGTTATTAAGCATCATTTTTTGACCAGTTTGAAGGTGCTTTATTCGTTCCAAATCCAACCTTATTTTGGCATGGCACAAAACTTGAGGCTGCTCTGTTGTGTGCTCTGCTAATTTCATGCCTTCTTTTCCTACTGTGCCTCATCTGGTATGGCTTGGGCAGTGGGGTGGCATCATGCTGAGACCGAGGACCCTACGTGGTTTCCACTGCACCTCAATTGGAGTCATCCCATCCTGCATGCTAGCAAGATAGTATTTATTATTGCTGTCAAAGCACTGAAGTGAATGTCATCCAACTTACACGTTGCTGTGACGGTTACAGAAAAAATACCAGATGATGAGCTTATCCCCTAAGAAAGCTTGTTAGAGCTTGTAGTACAGGATAAAGAACCGTATATTGTCAGTTGAATACCTTTGTCTTTTACTGGTTCACGTCAGTACAATTCAGCAAGATGTTAAGCTTGCTGTACAGCTGGCTGTGTGTTTTAATTCCACTGATGCATTGCTCCCTTTGAACTCGATCACCTTAGTTAATCAGGGAAATGAAATCAATATAATTGCCATGGCAGTTTTCTGTCCACTCCGTCCATGGCATCTTATAGCGAGCACAAAAACTGTTTCCTAATAAATATTGATTTGTCAATTCATTAAACTCAGCTGTGTCAGAGGGGAAGCTACAAGGCCATTTCTATTAAAAGAATGAACTGAAAGCGTGCTTCGGATGAATTGTGGGTTTTGTACATACATAGTCATAGGGGTTTTGTTCAAACTACGTGCCTCAGAAGAAAAAGAAAAAATAATGTAGTAAATGAATTTAGGTGGATCTTGATTTTCCTCTCTGGCCTGCATCAAGGACCTCTTTTAAGGAAAAAAAAAAAAAGAAAAAAGAAAGGAAAAAAAGAAAGCCACACTTGAAATGGTTTCAGATTCAATAGCCTTTTTTCTCTAAGATTAACTAACCTTTGCATTTGTAAAATGTGTGTTAATAAGCACTGTGAAACACCAGTTCTGTAGCTTAATAAATTGGGCACCAGTAATGAATTCTACTGCTGATAGCTCATTTGAGGCAGAAGAATGGAAGCCAGGGTGATCTGCTCTGTGTGTAAATGAGTAAAAGCAAGTATACCATAATCTTTTTTCTTGAAAGAGTCAAAGGGCCAGTGTTATGGTACAGTGTGTCTCAGCCTGGAAGTATATTTTTCCCCCTTATTTGTGTTTTGAAAGTTATCTCAGAAGAATTGGTATCCCAACATGTTGAGAAAGATGCAGTGATTGAATTAAAGAGGACTTAGGCCACCTACACTGACAAAACAAATGAAGGAAATAAAGCGATGGAAGGTTTCAACAAGGGTGGAAAGAGGACATAATAGCCCCGTGGGTCATGGATACGGTTTGCCTTTGGCATATTCTTTATGGATAGTGTAATCTGGGGCAGGAGCAGTCCAGTGTAGAAATTTGACCTGTGATGAGTTCATCCCAAAGGAAAGGTCTGTAATGAAGGACAGACTGGTCTCTTGGTGTGTGAAGGTGAAGCGTAGGCTTGATTCAACAGCTCGGATTGCAGACTGGGAACCCAGCTCATTGCTCTTGGAATGGGAAAGGAATGGGGAGGGATGGCGTGTTCTAACAATCCCTGGAGGAAGTTGAAAGAAAGATTGCTTAAAATATGCTCTGAAATTAGAGGAAGTGCAGATTCTGTCGAGAATTCTGGAGAATTTAAAACTGAAATACTTCTGCCGTGTGAGAATTCATTAGCACAAATGAACTCCTCGTTTATCTGAAAGTCATCGTGGTTTCCCGGAGGAAACAGCATCTCAGAGTTACTCATCACATTTTCCATTTGCATTTGAACAACAGGAGAGGGAGAGAAGTAACTTAGGTTTGCTTCGGGAGATGGTCGTTATTTTCATACAACATGAGTTGAGTAGTTTGCATTGTCTGGAGAACATGGAGAAGATGAGATAAATGTTAGTAGCACAGTCTTTTTTTCTTTTTTCACACCTCAGTGCTCAGTGAATCAAATCCAATTTACAAAACAATTAAAAGACACATCTATATGCACGGATTGCAGTTCATTTTCTGAAAGCATCTTGGCTTTTATGACAGGAAATGAGTGATGAGAGCAACTTCCAGCTCTTTTTGAAGAGTGGAAGTTCCCATGAAGGTGGCTTTTCAGTGCTCACGGTTCAAATTTTAAAGAGGGTTACTCATATAGGAATTTTCCTGCACGTGTTCCTGGTAGATTACAATTTTCTCAGTAAAGGTGTGTGTAATGAAAGAGCTGTTATGGACTACGGTTTTACTTGCAGTTTATCAGGGTGTGATGGTTCTTGTGTCTCTGTTATTTCTTACTTGTTATCTCCTGGTTTTCATTTCTCATATCACAAGACTGTTATGTCTTTATACTCTCAACTCTTGTTGGTTGGCCCACACTTGGGTTTTTTGCATTTGCAGAAGGCAGGGGTTAAAGCTTCCTTAATGCAGGTCATCCTTCTTTGGCAGCATAACGGATGGTTGAGATTTGCCAGCTGAAGGGTGAGTTTGTCAATATTCTGCTGTTCAGACAATATTGTTATCAGGGTGGATAACACAGATACTTCTGTTCGTTTCTGCAGACCCCCTCCAGTGAGTGAAAGTGCACCAAAAGGAACTGTGGTCACTGTGGTGATGGCAGCTGCCTTGAACCAAACTATTGTATATTCAATTGTGTCAGGAAATGAAGAGGGTAAGTACTAGTAACTCAGTCTAAGTGAGCGTGCTGAGCACAGTGCATGCATCAGAAGTTTTCAAGAAACAGTGACTAGCAGAAAAGCGAGCTGAAGTGAGGTCCCAGCTCATCAGTGCAAGCAGGAGGGACTGTTCCTGCTGCTGTTATCAAGCCCGTCCAGCCACATACAAAAACAGGTGCAGGAGCAGACTTTGCTCCTTAAAAAGAGGTGAACTTACTTTATATAGAGCTTGCACTTAGCCTTCTCCGTTAGGAAGTTTTGTACCCTTACAGTATCTCTTTATTAACAATGTAAAGTCATCTCCATGTCCAATGTGTGTCTCCTCTACTGGAGACAATATGTACCCTAGCTCTAGCATGCTGCCTGGAGGTGGTGTCAAAGCAGTGATGTCACAAAATAGAAACATTCTGTCATTAACAAAACCTCTGTTCTTTTGCTGGCTTTCAGATATGTTTGCTATTAATAACAGAACAGGTGTGATCTCCGTTAAAAAGCCTCTGGATTATGAAAGAGTGACAAGTTACGAACTTCGAGTTCAGGCAGACTCATTACAAGTGGTCCGATCCAACCTGCGTGTCCCATCCAAAAGTAAGTTTAAAGATCCTGATTGTTGAGTATCTTTTTAATGTTGAGTATCTTTTTAATTTTATAATCCTGTTAGCTGCAGTCTTGCTACTGTTGTGTTCTCAGAAATTGAGCCGTGACGATGGTTTGTGAAAGGCAGAGTGTGCACTTGTGGATCTCTGTTCTTGTTCTCTGCATGATAACCCTTGGGTTTGGTCCTCCCAGAGCACATCTGTGTTAGACAGAGATCTCACTGACCCAGATAGAGCTCATATTTGTATACACATAGCGAGCTGATGACACAGATCTACCATTCAAATTTTCCGTGATAGAATGTGACAGTTTCTCATAAATGCATTATGCAGCCCAAGTGCAAACTGTTCCTCCCTGCTGGGCTGGGGACTTGTGTGCGTGGGGATGTGTAAGCTCTGAACAAACTGAGCATGAGGCACAGGAGAGTAATGGAAGGCTGCAAACGCGAGGACTCTACAGAGAGGAGTATGGGATGGATAGGCAGCAAGGGTGACAGGAAGAACAAGATGTCCTAAGCACCTCTTGGGGGTATTCAGGGAGCTTATTGCAACCCCATCTGAGAGCAAACTGGAGAAAAGGATGGCCTGTGGCAGGAAGTTTCTTTGCAGAGCCTCCAGGCACAAAGGAGTTCTGTTTACTAACTGTTTCATTTTGGCTATCTCCGAGTGTGAGAGATTCTTTTTCTCCTTTTAACAATTTTCTTGTTTGAATGACTTCAAAAGGACTTCTGGAGCTTTTGTTGTGCTTTCTGTAAGGAAAAGGCCTGGGCAGACTGACTTTGAATGTGTCTCACTTAATGTCCCATCCCATCTTTTACACGTTCCTATTTAAGCCATGTTTGAGCTCTAGTTACAAAAGCATTAAAGCTTATACCAAAAAAATAGTATTTTTACATGACAAGCTTTTTTCATATGTAATATTTGTCTTTATTTTATTTTTTTGCTGGATTTTATGATCTCTAGCTAAGGACCATCATGGTCTTGATGGCAGTAAGCCCAGGGCATGGGAATGTCAAATAGAGAAGCTCCTCTAAGGTAGGTAGCAAGGGATTGAACATAATTTAAAGGCTATGAGAATACTGCGTTCCCATTTCACTGGAAACTGACTGTAAGTCTATTTCAAGCCATTTGTGCTGCTGTACCACCTTATTGCATTCCCCCTCACGTGAGATGAGGACTCCACAGGTGTCAGTAGCATTGGGCTGTCACCTTTCTGCCTGCCCTGAGGAACAGGGAGCACTGGGTGAGTTATGCCTCAGGTATAAGGTGAGCACTCCATTCTACTCTGCAGCTGTGTCAGCTCTTTGGTCAGTGCTTTGCCAGGAAGGAAGCCCAAGTGCCAGCCAGTGGTGTCAGAGGTGACCGTGCTGCCCCATGGCAGATGGTCTTTCCCACCCCATGGGTTGTGATCTGTGGAATTAATAGTTGCTGAGTCGCAGAAGAAGGGCTGTGCTTAGCTGATTCTGCTGTCCTGTTCTGTAATTAGTCTTCTAATCGTTGTTCTAATGAATAGCCATAAATATTAGGAAGCCCAGCTCCAGTTTACTTCTGTGCTGATTTGGTGCACATTTGTGAAAGTATAGTGTATAAATTAGAGATTATAATTCAGGGGATAAAATTTAAAATGGGGTACAATGCTTTTTCTTCCAGTAATAAATTACTGGAAAATCTGCTTGCAATATAGAAATCGGTAGCTAACAATAATTTTCTTGCCATTATTTTTTCTTCTTTTTTTTTTAAAGTTACTGAGGTTAGTATGATGATCAGAGGGCTGGAGCACCTCTCCTGCAAAGAAAAGTTGAAGGAACTGGGCTTAGAGAAGGCTCAGGGGAGACCTCATGGTGGCCTTCCAGCACTTGAAGGGAGCATATAAACAGGAGGGGGAACGGCTGTTTACGAGGGTGGGTAGTGATAGGTGAAGGGGGAATGGTTTTCAACTGAGACAAAGGAGGCTTAGGTTAGATATTAGGAGGAAGTTTTTCACACAGAGGGTGGTGATGCACTGTTCACAGGTTGCCCAAGGAGGCTGTGGATGCCCCATCCCTGCAGGCATTCAAGGCCAGGCTGGATGTGGCTCTGGGCAGCCTGGTCTGCTGGTTGGCGACCCTGCATACAGCAAGGGGGTTGAAACTAGATGATCTTTGAGGTCTACTTCAACCCAGGCTTCTCTGTGATGTTAACAGACCCCAATATTTGAGAATGTGCTGTGAAACTGTGATAATGCAGTATGACCTGAGACATCATATGAGGCGTTGCACTTAAAATACCTCTGTCAGGCTTGTCACAACTCCCCATGCAACCAGCAGAAGACTTGGAAAATGAAAGCATATTTTGATAGGTATATCTTCTTCCATAACAGGGATTGTACACGTGCATTTGTGGCACAGTACGTAGCGATTATTCCGTGATCAGAAGTTGAATGACTTTAACAGCAATGGAAGGTCCTGTATGCTGTTACATCCACCACTGATGACATATCAAGAGAGAAAGAGAGAGTCAGCACCAGCTGACCTCATCACTTTGTGCCTGGGGGAGGTCTGGGAAAGCTGCATTTCTGTACAATGCAGTACTGCAGTGTCCCTTCTCCCATTCATGGTCTGCATGGGATCAGTGCTCCCTTTTGTGCAGCAGCTCGAGAAAGGTGGTGGCCAAGTTATTATATTCAGGGATGCCTGGTAATGGCCAATGCTTACATTGTTTTCAGTTGAAACAGACACGCACTTGCTGTACATATTGGGATATCCACATGTAAACAGCATATAATAAATTTTCAGTCTACAGTCTGCTGGATAGATAGCTGAAGAATTTGGTAGATGATGTATTTGTAAAGTGTAAAACATTTTGCAAGTATCTGGCTAACTAAATTACCTAGGCCTTTGTAATGGAGACTCCTCGACCTCTTGGTTTGATTCCCACATTTGTAGTAGTCTTTCCATTTTCTTTTTTGATGATATTTAATCATGCAAAATCATGCTCTCACATTTAGCGAAATTGAGCTTCTTAAATGAGTAACTTTCACTGAAACTTCGTAATGTGAAATTACAGTGCTTTTATATTTCATTTGAATGGATGAAATGTCAGCTCTTCTGATGACAGTGAAGTTAAAAAGTTAGAATTCTGGCCGGAGGAATCGGCATCTGGTGATGCTGAACCCTTGGTGACCTCAAGTATTAATGAACTTCATCATTTCAGTTTAATTTAGTAGCTGGGTTTTTTTTTGTGTCTGCTCTTTGCCTCTTAGATCGTCTATAAACTACAGGCTCACAGCATACTGTGAGACAAATGAGGATCGTGGTCATTAGCTTCCAGCTAGAAGCTTTCAGTTTTTCCTCACTGGGTAGGATGAGAAATGGGAGAATATTTACATAAAGGGAACAGCACAGAGCTGTGTATGGCACGATGTGTTCTGCATTGTGCAGGCACTGCTTTGTCATTAATCCCAGGGCAAACAGCACCTCCATCCAAAGAAGAGATGTGAAGTAGTGAGCTGAAGGGAAGGTATCACAGAATCATAGAATGGCTTGGGACCCAAGTTGGAAGGGACCTAAAGGATCATCATTCCACCCCCCTGCCATAGGCAGGGCCTTCAAACTCTATATTTTATATCAGTACAATTAACTATTCACTGAATAAAATTACTTCTTGACCAAGAAGAGACTAAACATCATATCTATTCTCATTTGAACAGTTGGCTTTTGGGGAGTTTTCATCAGCACTTCACTGTCTTGAAGTTTGATACTCAGAGGAAGAGTGCTTAGGACAACTGCTGGTGAGGAGGAAGGGACAGGAGGAGACAGGGGAAGGCAGAGTGATGAGAGGAAGTGCTGCCCAAACGCGCTGAGAAAGAGCAGTGGAGACCTATAAAGACAAGATAGGAAAGGGGTTTTATCACCAAAGTAATCATGGTCCCTGTTTTAAGAATCAAAGCAATCGTGAGCAGGGACATTCTGGTCCCTGTGCCAGACACAAAATGTGAACCATGATGGGAGATAACAGGTTTTCAGGCTTTGATATGGAAGAAGAGCCATACAGCAGAGCCAGAATGTGTTTGTTTTCAATGCCATGGACAAAAGGACCTCACAGATCCCTGAGAACAAAGAAGAGAGGCAGCAGCCTCACATTTTCCGGTGTTTTCAGTTTCCAGCATCTGAGAAAAGCACTTCTCATTCCCCAAGTATGCATGTATGTCATTTGCTCTCTTAACTTTGAATTACCACTGCCATCTGAGCACAGCTTTGCCTGTCCTCTGTGGCTGCTCAGCCAGGTAGTGCCAGTGTCAGTCTGCAGACGGACGTGGATGCAAAGAGATTGGTCAGCAATTAGCCTCTGAGGGAAAGGTGGTACCAGCTGGCAGAGCGCTGTCTGAAATGCTTGTCTTCAGAAGTCACCTGAGCTTCTGGCTCAATTGGCTGTTGAGGAAACCAGAATGCAGTGTCACAGAATCACAGAATCACAGAATTGCCAGGGTTGGA